TTTTTCCCTGCGGCCGTGTGGGGTAGTTCATCCGAGGATATCGCCCCCGCCACGCACGGCGCGTTGTCTTAGCACCGCACCCGCACAAAATAATTACGACAACTAGTACACTAAGATCAATACTATGAATCAAATCACACATAACAATCAAACTAATAGAAACAATAATAATAATAGCAATGCGAATAATAATAATAAGGATAATACTACAAATCCGAAAACCAACGGGCTCCCCTGCTTCTTTCCTCCGTCCCTCGTTTTTCTCAAGATATTCATCATCCTTGTCCTATGCGATTCTTAATACCACCCCTATTGAACAAATGTTTGTTCCCGGCCGTCGTGTGGGGTAGTGCATCCGAGGATATCGCCCCTGCCACGCACGGCGCGTTATCTTAGCACCCGCACCGCCAAAATTACTCGCACCCCATCGTAGGCACGGACGGTTACTTTTCAAAGCTGGGCTGTCCCTTGCTGGGGGAAGGCCGAGCGCTGGGAAGACGCGCGGCCACTCCAGTTCTCGCACAGACCGACCACCTGACGCAGACTCGTCTGCGTCCAGAGCAGTTTCTGAGGATGTCTCAGGCGGTTTGCTTGTTCTGGCGAGCGGACTCGTCTGCGTCTGCGTTCACACAGAAGGTGCGGGGTGCCAGGGGAACACTTCTGGGGTGCTGGGTGCGTTCTACTTTCGCCGGAGAGGGGAGGGGGGGGTCCTTATTGCCAGATGCGGTTAGGGTCAGGCGGAGGAGGGAGGATCGGCGGAGGGCGGAGGGAGGAGGAGGAGGAGGAGGTCAGACATATTTTGAACATGATCAGACATACTCGACAAATCGTTCCCAGACTATTGTTTTACTATTTCTGAATATTCCTCCTGTAGAGGGACAGGCCCGACTTAACCTTACGTCGCGCCTGTCCCCCTGCAGGCCGATTTTGGACGAACAATCTAAACATAGTTCAATGATGCCATAAACTGGTCAAACATACTCCAACAAATCCTTCCCAGACTATGTTTGTTCCTATTTCTGCTTCTTCTTCTTCCTGTGGAGGGACAGGCTCGACTTAACCCTGCACCCACTCGACCCCCGGGCCCTGCCACGGACACCCGCGGGGGGCCTGGCCGCAGCGGTGGAGGCGGGCACACTCCAGGACCCAGCCCGCGCGCCTCCGAGGCTGACCTCGCGCTCCAGAGAGGGGGAACCTCGGGCTCGCTGAGCACTCGCCCCCGGGTTTAAGTCGGGCGTGTCTCCCTACAAGGGGTTTTGGATGAAAATGAAAAATAGTAAGAACATACATTAAAAAACGCTCAAACATACTCGACAAATAACAAGCGCGTCCTGGCGGCCACCACGGCCGCCGCCGGACGCATGGCATACCGCCCTTCGGACAATTCATCGTTCGGCATCCTCGCGGAGGGCGTCGTGGCGGCCGACATCCAACCTCGCTCGCTCCTGCAGCGCACCAACCCTGCCTGGTCACAGGAGGAGGTGAGCGAATGGGCCACGCGCCGAGGCTTCAATAACGTCTCCCACATAGTCCGCGCTGGGGCTCGCCGATGGTTTCTTCGCGGCGACCTGGCCGCTATCGCCAACGACCAGGTGCTTTCCTTCTCCTCGGGGGTCCTGGTCAGCCTCGCGCCACCCCGACGCGAACAAGCAAGGCCCACGCCTACGACAACTTCGAGGACGGCCTGGGGCACCCATAGCCCAGCCAGACCGTCCCCACAAGCACCTCCTCCCCCACCGGCGGCGCCGGAAGAGCAGGAGGACGAGGAAATGACCAACAACGACGGCTCTAACGAGCAGGACCAACGCAAGAAGGTGGCCACATGACGAGCAGCAGCTGCTGCGGCCCCTGCGGCCCCTGCCCCATGCCCATGGGAGCCCAACTTCACGGCCAAGGAGTGCGGCGGCAAAGGAGACCGCTTCTACTGCTGCGCTCGCTACTTCAAGCACACGTCCAAGGCTCACGCCAAGCCGCTCGCCGACGCCGACCTCGCCCCAGGTGGCCGACTCCAGGCGTAGATACGACAGGCGGTGGCGGCCGAGCTCCGAAAGCAGAAACATCCCGAGGCCACGGCCCAAGGTGCCGCCGGGACATGGGCCACCTCCAAGGCAATTGAAACGGCAGCAAAGGTCCTCAAGACGAATTTCGCTCTGGAAGAGGACTGCGTCAGGCTGGGTACTGTTCACAGGTCGATCACGACAACACGCACGGTATGGCTCACACTCGTCGACGGCCACTACCAGCTCCTCACGAATACGACCCCCCTGCCGCCATCCACAGAAGAAGAATGGAAGAAATCCTCTCGTCCAGGCCCTCACCACTTCACCGGCGGGGGGAAAGTCAACTCAGCGTGATCACGTGGTCTCCGCAGCTTGCTCAGCTTGGAGACTCCAACGGTGACCTCACCAAGTACTACTCGGACTCAGCAGCCAAGACACCTCTCAAGCAGAGGGGCGCGCAGCATCCTGAGCCTACCGACGCCGTCTAAGGCCCCCTCCCAGGCGGGCGCCGCCGACACACGACAACTCCTCAGCATCGCGGGCGACCCCGACGACGCCGCGACCCCACCGGTGGCACCCACGTTCCCCCGCTACGACGCCTACACCTACTGGCACTGCGAATGTGGTTGGAAGCCCAACGTCCTGAACCAGACGGTCAACCAGATACGCAACGAGGCCCGTGTCCATTGGCGCTCTTGCCAAGGAGACGACCTTCCCAAAAAACCTTTGGAAGCTCGACGCGCTCGTTTGGGAGTCGGAGGCTCTGCGACCGACGCCATGAATCAAGAAAGACGCTTCGCATATTGGCAACGATTTACCACTTGGAAGACGGAGCTGGCCCAGCAGGCCCGGGACGTCATCTGCGACCCCGTCGAGGCCTCCGCGTACACGACCCAGCTCTCACGCATTAAGACCACCAAGTCCACCTGTTCTCGCTGCGGCAGGAGCTTCCCGCTCGCCTGCTTCAAGAAGACGGCGTGCAAGAAGCGCCCTGACGGCATGACCCAACGAGCAGCTCTCCGCACCCTCCTCGGGCAGGCCAGGGCCGACAACTTCCTCAAGGAAGCCTGCAGAAAGTCGCGCAGACGTGCGGCTGAACGGGAAGCAGAACCTGGCTACTACGAGAAGCAGTACCAGCTCTACGACCGCCAGACTTACATCACCAGGATGTCTCGCCAGAGAAGGGAAGCAGTCGAGCCGCGCCGACGCGTTCGCCGACGGCCTGCCGCTGCTGCCTCCAGCAGCTGACGAGGCCCGCTCCTGGGGGGAGGCAAGACCCCTCGGGGGCCGATATCCAGGAACGCATCTACCTCTCCGACGTGCCAGCCCACGGCACCGAAACGAATTCGAATCAATGCTTCAGGTGCTCATCAAAATTCTCAGCAGACGCTCACGCCTCAACGGCGGCCACCGCAATTTACCGCTGATGATCCACACGGTAAGCGTCTGCGGACGCAGTTTTATCCAGAGAATGGTGGAACTCTGGCTTCATTTCCTTCGCCACCAACGCCTACGGCAACGACCCCGCCGCGGCCCTCTTCTGAGAAAGGTGCCTCTTCCAACTTCATTGCGCCCTCGTCAATTTCGGCAAGGTCCCCGCTGCATGTCCCCTCTGGGACTGGGCGTTCCCATGCCGCGCACGACGGCCCGTGGGCCAGACGACCGCGGCACGACCCCGCCGGCGGCGACGACGCTGGTGGCGGCGACGACCAACCCATGGAACCGGACACCACGCCCGACCCCATGCACCTCCAAGTATGCACTATCAGCGTCACTAGCCTCGCCAAGTCCCGCCTGACCACCATCCTGTCCTCCCCAGACACGATGGCAGCTGGCACTGTGTCCCTGCAGGAGATCCGCCAGCGGGAGCTTCGCCCCAGGTGGGTCCTCCGCCACGCCACGAGCCTCGGTTGGATCGCCTGCTCCGACCCTCCCCCTGCCGCCAGGGGCGCCATCGCCGCTGTTCGCCAAGGGGGGTGCGCCATGCTCTGGCGACGCTCACTGGGCCGTGTCCACGTTGTCCGGGACACGATGCTCGGGCACAGGATGGTGGGTATTCGCACGGCACACGCAACTGTCCTCTCGACCTACGGCCCCGCCGAGCTCGACCGCGACTGTTTCCACCGCAGTTTCACCTTCTGTCGCGCGCTCGGCCACCTCGGCCACCCAATCTTCGTCGTTGGGGACCTGAACTGGCGCCCCACCTACGCAGGGGTCATCGGACACGGCTGGCGCCTCGACACCGCCGCCGACGGCTCACCATCAACCTCGGCCACGGTGAATACCTGCCCGACGCGCGCCCTTTTCTGGGCAAGCCCCGACGCCGGACCACCACTTCATACCGACACCACGCTCTTGGCTGGCATTCCACTCTGCGGCCTCGTCAGCTACGCGCTCAACGTCCCGTGCACGGAACAAACCACCCACCGCCTCCGACGGACCGCTCCCTACGTTCCGGCCCGCGACGCTCCTCCCGAAGAGACAGCTCTCATGCAGGAACTGGTTGATTTGGAACTTGGTAATCCCCTGATTTCCGGCGACGACGACAGCAACCCGCCGCTATCGGACCGATGGGACTACTGGCACCTACGCGCCGAACAGGCGATGCTAGTGGCAGTCGACCGCGGCTGCATGCAGCTCGACCATCTGGCCGAACGGCCCAAGGGCTCCAAGCCCACGACTCGGCGCACCTCGCATTCACAGGCGCACCGACTGGACCAGTCGATGGCCCTCCGACGCCTGCTACGCCTCCACAGGGCCCTCGCAGAACACCTGCGCCAGGGGGGCCGAAGCGACGACTACCTCACGCCGAGGCACCGCCGTTCGGTAGCCCATGCGGCCCTCGACGGCATCCTCAACGCGCAAGCCCGCGGCACCCCGTGCTACTCCGACGCCCCCCACTGGATCTCCCAGGCGACCTCGGCGGCGCAAGCCCGTCTCCAGGACGGGGCTAACCGCCGGTGGCGACAGAGATTCGCCACCTGGAGCAACGACCTCTGATCCTATACGACCCCCATGTTCAAGGCCATGCCGCCGACGCCCGCCATGAACGTCCACTACGTGCGCCAGCAATGGCATGACCAATGATGCCCCGACGGCGACGCGCACCACCAACGCTGGAAGACCTATGCCGCGGACACAGTCTCCCAGAAATCCGACAAGGCCTCCGACTGGACACCCTCCTGGGGCCAGTTCCGGGAAGCCATCCAACGCGCCGAGGGCTGCCCTGGCCAACGCGCCGAGGGCTGCCCTGGGCTTGACGGCTGGAACTGCAAGGAACTCCGTGCTCTGGCCCACTTGTTCCCGGCCATCGTCCGCGAGCTGTTCGACCTCTGGACTGCCTCGTCCACAGCGGCTGCCCAAGCCAAGGGCCACCTCCCGCCCGCCCTCCTCTCCAGAGCCCCCCCCCCCTGGAGGGTAGCAGGGGTGCCCGAGGGGGAAAGCGACACCCGGCCGATCTCGGTCGGCTCGATGCTCCTCAGAGTCTGGCTCAGGTCCCTGTCCCAAGCCGTGCCTGAACCGCCAGACAATCAGCGCGCCAACTGCTCTGGTACCAACGTCACCCACGCCATAGCCGCCTGGTTTCCGACTGCGCAGACTCTTCCGACGGAGTGGAAATGGACCTGTCACGGGCCTTCGACAACATCGGTCACGAGCTAGCCCAAGAAAGCCTCATCCAGAGCGGCCTGCCAGACCTCGTGGTCTACACCTGCCGCGCTGCGTAGTCGGGCCCCCGCCACTGCCCCCTCATGGGCATGGCGGCGCCACCGATCCACCCACAGCGGGGCCTCCCGCAAGGGGACGCCATGGCCCCAGCCACGATGGTGGCTTGCCTCGCCCCTTGGCAGCCCCTATCCTCTGGTCACGCCTTCGTGGACGATCGCGCGATTGTCTCCACCTCGCCGGACGCGCTGGCCCTCGACATTGCAGATACTCAAAGCTTCGACCGACGAGTGGGCTTTCTGGAAAACATCGGTAAACGACAGCACTGGTCCGACCAAGACGTCGTTCCACGACGCATCGAGCACCTCGGAGTGCTCGCAACACCGGCCGACTCCAGCTTCGGCATCATTCCACGCCAAGGGTGGGCAAAGCTGGAAACCTCCATCGCCGTGGTGGCCTCCATCCCCGGCAGCAACCAGGTTCGCCTCAAGCTCGCCTTCGCCTACATCCGTCCTTTGCGGCTCTGGGCGAGCCCACTGGTCACCCCGCCGCCCAGCATGTACGCCAGGACCCTGGCGCGAGCCGTCTGGCACACCGGTTGCACATGGTGGTGCCATGGGAGGTGGTGGGCCCAATATGTATTACTTCATCCAATGTATTATGCTGCTATACTCGCTTTCAAGAACATTGTAGATCCTAAGCTGAAGTGGTCTGTGTTTTTGGAACAATATATCGCTACTCATGCAACTGCGTTGGGTCTCACCTACCGTCGTTTCACTCTTACGCAAAGGACTCAATTGGAAGTCGATCCCACCGACGATTGACGTGTGCTGAAGGCGGTGGAGGAGCACGTGGGCGACTACTGGCGCTTCTGGTCGGGGTCCTCCGGTGCTCTGCACGTCCTGCGAGTTATCGCACGCATCCGCTGCCTACAAGCAGTGGTTCCTACGCGGCACGACGCGGAGAAAATCTCCGACGTCGACGTCGAGATCTGCTTGGACAAGGCCTATACGCGCTGGGTGGGTACACTCAGCGACACGGACAAGACGCTTCTCTCGATATTTCGCTCTGGTGCCGTCACCAGCGAGACTCGGAGACGAACCGGGTTCGCATGCAAGCACTGGGGTGCAACTACCCCATCGTTCCGCCATGTCTGGGCTGAATGCCTGAGGTGGCACCATGCGAGATCCAACATCGGAGCTCGCTACATGCTTCCCGGCAATTTCTGGACATCTGCTCCTTAGGTGTACAGGATGGGTTGCTTACGCTATTGCTGATACCCCGGAGGAGCGGACTCGAATGCACCTGGCCTCTTGCTCTTTAGACATTACGATATTGGCCAGTGGAAAGGAAGACATGATTACTGATGCTACCCCGCTACCTTCTTCTCGAAGACGGCGTTTTGGCAACAGGAGTGTAGACTAACATCTTAAGTTTGGATCTATCCCACACGCCAGGGTGTTCCATCACAACTTCTCTCTCTCTCTCTACTTAACAAATAATCCCCGGACTATTTGTGGACTATGTTTGACATGTCCTCCTGTAGAAGGACGGGCCCGACTTAACCCTGGGTGCGTCGGCCCTGTCCCGAGCAGCCTCGGGGGCAGAGGCCGTGCGCACGGGCTCCTCAGCCCCGCCGCGCGAGCAGAAGGAACAGAGGAGGAGGACGAGGAGGACGAGGATGAGGAGGAGGAGGAGGATGAGGAGGAGGAACAGCAGAAGGAACAGCAACAGGAACAGCAGGAGGAGGAGGAGAAGGAGGGAGGCGCAGAGGGCTCGGCGGAGAGAGGGATGTGGCTGGCAGCGGTGAGGAGCGAGTCGGGTCCAGAGGAGTGGCCCGCGCAACTTTAGACGAACCCGGGCGAGAGCCCTGTTCTGAGCACCAGGAGCGAAGCGTGGGCCCTGAGATGTGGCCAGCGCCTGCAGCAAAACACACAAGTTTTCCAGGACAGGTGGCGCTCCGACCACAAAGAAACACAACGTGTGACATGTTGGAATCCCCGTGTGAAGAAGAAGAGTGCGGGAGAGGCACAAACCAACACAGTATCAGGGGAGAGAGGAGAGTAGTACGCACAACGAGCATTGCACTGCAAAGAAGAAGAGAGAGAGAGCGAGGGACGGAGGAGGGATCCCGCGCCCCTCTGCGCAGACCCCTGGGGACGTGTACTCCTGCGGACCCTCCCTCAGATCGGAGGAGGGCAACCCTAGCCCTAAACCCTAAACCTTAACCTCACACCTTAAACCCTAAACCCTAAACCTTACCCTAAACCCTAATCCCTGAACTCTAAACCATAACCTTACACCTCCAGAATCGTTCCCAAGCTGCGTCCGGCCGTGGCGACGAGGGGACCCCCCGCGAAGGCCAACTTTCGGTGTCATCTCAATGTACTCTTAAGTCGGCCCTGTCCCCTTACAGGGGGATTTCGACGAAAAATAAGAAATACCCTGAAAATACTCTCCTTTGGTCGAACAAAACTGAAAAAATAGTACCCCGACTATATTTTACTATTTTTGAATGTTCCCCCTGTAGAGGGACAGGCCCGGCTTAAATGTACTCCCAAGCCCTGAGATCTGACGTTGAACAAACAGACGCAACATCGCAAAAAGTCACGACCGCAGCCCAAGACCCAACAATTCTGATCGGTATGTGAGGCCCCCGGGGCCCGACACTGGGCGAAGACGCCCGTTGTGAAGAAAGTGCGACGCCAAGATCTCGAAGAACGCTCGCCCTCGGTGGCGGATCGAGCGCCGGCAGGATCTGGTGAGAGGCTGCCGAGCGTGAGGGGCGGAGGCTGCGGACCGAGGACACGAGCAAGAGCGCGGCAGCCCTCGAGGGTCGGCAAACGGGCCCGCAGGGGCCGCGGCCCCCTGGCTCCTGGGCGCCCTCTGGACACTCGAGGCGGACGATAGGGGTGGAAAGGCCAGGGGAGGGGGTTATACGTACTCGCCCGGGAGCCTCGTCGAAAGCAAGGGTGATCGGAGGGTCTGGATATATGGATTGCTCTCTCCTGGGCTATTCGCACCGATCGTCGCCTCCGAAGCACCGCTCCTTTTTTTCTGTGTTTTCCCACCCCCCCGCGGCAACACTGACTCCATGAAGCGATGCTACCAAGCGAGATGGGACGGGGGCAGTGGCAAGCTGTCCGCCCGCAGGACTGTCCTCGCCTTTCCGTCCGGGCAGAACGGAGACGCTGGCGCGGAAGACAAAGGGGGGGGGGCGGCAGGAAGGAGGCGCAAATGAAGCAATAGCCTGAAACCCGCGCCGGCCAGCCTGCAAGAGGCCGCTGGACACCGCTCCTTGGCAACAACCGGCATCTTTGATCGCCACCCTGCCTGATCGCAGTTCCGACGCGCTGCAGCCATCGTGCTACCATGAGGAGAGGCAAATCAGAAGCGAAGGGGCTCTTCTGGCCCCAGCGAGCCCCGTCCACGAAAAGGTCAACTGCGAAGTTCCGAAGGGCGGCCCGAACACGAACTCCTCCGGAGCCCAAAGTGGTCCTTATCTCAGCGCCTTGGATGTGCTTGTTGAATTCAAGGGGAAACAACCACAAACGGGGGGACTGGCGGACGGCAGAAGAGACGACCAGACGGACGGGACAAGCGGAGACTACGGCAATCGGCCACCTCGTGGATTTTTAGGTAGGCACTCACCAGCAACATCAACATTATCTTGGCCCATGCTCCAGGGCATGGGGGCACTATCTTCGAAGATGCCTTGCATGTCTCGTTCCCTGCTGGGGGCTTGCTGTGGCTTTCGATTATCTTTAGATGCACAGCTGTAGTGTTCGGTGCTCTGTGGGCGCTGGCTGTGCCCTTCAGTTCTCCGTTTTTGGCCTGGCAGTGACCTAAGGCCTATCTGTGACATGCTTTGTTGGGCATTGGTGGTGCCCTTCGGTCTCTTGCCAAGGACCATGCAACGACCTGTAACCGTCTGCGCGCACAAACAAAACAGAGGAGTAAGAGAAGGATGACTGGGTGTCTAAACAAAATAGCTTGAATCGCTAACCTTCGGGGTGACACATGCCACGAAGACTTCGGGGTGACACGTGTCACCCGGGTGTTTTCTCTTACGTAATGCAAGGCTTCATGTTTGCGCTGAAAAAACAAGTGAAACAATAGTGTGAATATATACGTATGTACCTATATCTGGCGGTGTTCAGCGTGGCGCAATGTATGGCCTCACGTTGGCGCTCAGACGCGCTGGTGGGTCTTCGGGGCCCCAGGCGGGGGGAGCGAGGAGAATGTGAGCGCTGCGTTTGCCCCTGCGCTCAGCTCCTTCCATCGTTCGACGGGCGTGATCTGGCTTAGGGGTGTCGGCGCCTAGGGTTGGGTTCGGC